TTTTCTCTGCTGTTTGAGAAGTGAGGGCATCAGTTCCGCTCTGCAAGGCGACAACCTACACCAGGGGTCTTCAAACTTGGCCCTTTGATGACTTGTGGACTTCAGCTCCGCGTGTGCCTGGCTGAGGAATTCTGGGAGTTGAAGTCCACAAGTCATCAAAGGGCCAGGTTTGAAGACCCCTGTCCTACGCCATTAGGAAAATGTTATTCCGAGAGATCAAAAGCGTATGACAAGCAAAGGCTGCAAATTCTGCAAAGAGGGGCCTTGTCAGATACCAGCTCCACATTTATTCCATCATTTTCTGTTCTGAATAGCAGAACAATTTAGACGAGTTCACTCGAATAACCCCACTGCTGATGAACTCGGTGGCCCAGTTTGGACATTACGCTCAAAGGAAGAGGCTGGGGTGTTACGTGAAGCAGACTAACCTAGTTAGCTAACTTCCAGATTAGTTTGGAAGAGATTAATTGGAGCTAGGCCTCCAATCAGCTGTGACAACTAAATGGGCCTCTCTGGAGTTAATTGTCCTTTCTGAAGTAATATTATGGAGATGCTCTATCGCTGTCTCCAGTTTACTGTCCCTCACAGCCACATTAGGGGAAGGGAGGGAGGGAGGGAGGGGTAAGAACTCTAAGGGGAAAGAAAGAAAGAAAGAAAGAAAGAAAGAAAGAAAGAAAGAAAGAAAGAGGGAGAAGGAGAGAGAGAGAGGGAGAGAGAGAGAGAGAGAGAAAGAAAGAAAGAAAGAAAGTCAGTCATTCCAAGGGAGGAACAGAGAGACAGAGACACAAATGCAGAGAGAGAGAGAAAGTATGAATGGAAGGAAGGCAGGGAGGAAGGAAGGAAAGAAGGAAGGAAGGAAGGAAGGAAGGAAGGAAGGAAGGAAGGAAGGAAGGAAGGAGATGGGAGTGAGGAAAGGGTAAGGACTCTAAAGGGAAAGAAAGAAAAAGAAAGAAAGAAAGAAAGAAAGAAAGAAAGAAAGAAAGAAAGAGAAAGAAAGAAAATGAATCCAAGGAAGAAACAAAGAGACAAAAGAGAGAGAGAGAGAAAAAGAATGAATGAATGAATTGGAAGGAAGAAAGGAAGGAAGGAATGAGATGGAAGTGAGGGAAGGATAAGGACTCTAAAGGGAAAGAAAGAAAAAGAAAACAAGAGAGAGAGAGAGAGAGAGAGAGAGAGAAAGAAAGAAAGAGTCCAAGGGAGGAATAGAGACACAAATACACACAATACACAGAAAGAAAGAAAGAATTTGAAGGAAGGAAGGAAGGAAGGAAGGAAGGAAGGAAGGAAGGAAGGAAGGAAGGAAGGAAGGAAGGAGTTAGATGTGGCTCCCTGACTCCATCCTTTGTGCTACCAAAAGAGACTCTTTCCATCTTCTCTTGACCCTTCCTTCCTTCCTTCCTTCCTTCCTTCCTTCCTTCCTTCCTTCCTTCCTTCCTTCCTTCCCTCCCTCCCTCCCTCCCTCCCTCCCTCCCTCCCTCCCTCCCTCCCTCCCTCCCTGGATGAAAGGAGAAAAAGAGATCAACCACCATCCAGTTTCTTCTATGGACAGCTTGTGTGTGTGGGGGGGGAGGGCTTAGAGAAAGACCACCTCCATTGGAGTGGCTTATTGTAGGAGGATGAGTTTTTCCCAGCACTTTGGGTGGTAAAATCCAAAAATGACGCCTGTCCCTGTGAACGGGGGATCAGGAAACCCTTTCAGCCTTGCAGCCCTGTTTCCACACACTCCCTGCTCTTCTAAGCACTGGAGATAAGCACCACCATAAAATTAGCCTCATGAGAATTCCCTGTAGAATTCCCATCAGCTTGAGGGAAGTTAGCCCAGAGAAGGTAATATTAAAAGGGCAGAAAAATATATATTTTCCTCAAAAGGATTTTTAAAACCAAAAAACCAACCCTGGCCTCATCTCTTTGCCCCAAGCAGGAGCCAGCCCTATACAAATGCAGATGCAAAACCATCAGAAAGTTGAAGCCAGAGCACTCAAGAAGACAAAGAGAAAATCTGCATGCCCCACCCAAACTCTAGGAGTCATTAGCCCCATCACCTGGGAAGCAGGATATGATAATAGGATTAAACCACAGATACCAAGGCCTACACAAACACTCGGAAATAGCCTCAAAGTTCATGCCACAGGAACAGGAAACTATTCCAAACAAAAGGCTAGAGGGGGTATAAAAACCCCTAGCCCATGTGCTCAGCCCTTCTTCCCTCTGCTCTTTCCTGCAAGAATCATCTTTCTGCCTCTTCAATAAACTGTAACTGTCTTCCCAAAGCAGTTACCGTGTTGCTTATTTATTCCCGGCTTGGATGAGTCAGGATGAAGACTTTAACCCAACAAGCTAAATTAAGGCCGCGGTTTAGATTAAATCATGGACTCCTCTCACTTTGAGTCCTGGGTCTCTCTCCTCTGCTGAAAACCCGACGGCCACGGACAGGCGTTTGAGCGTTTTTATGTTCTTCCGCTAATGTTGATAACATCGCAATTCCGGCTGCATTAGTTCATATCCCCCCCATCCAACTTGAAGCAATTAGCTTAATCCAATTAGGGAGACCCCCCCGGACTACGTTTCCTAATCCAGACTTATGATTTAGCTTGCAAGTTCTACCACCCGAGTTCCTTCTTTAATGTAACATCTGCCAGGGAAGCAGGATTGTCTGTGCCATCTGCAGGGATGGGAGAAACGCTGGCAACAGATGTGCCCGATCTTAAAGATGGAGAGATTAAAGAGCGCTAAAGAAAAGGAAGCCGTCCAAATCCAGAGGCTACTCAAATGGGTTATCCCATTTCCAGCTAATTGGCTATTGAAAGATGAGTTTGGCAGGAGGGGGTGGCTGATAAAATGATAAAACGGCATAGGCATGGGACAATCACCAGGTGCCTGTGAGTTCTAGTTCCACCTTAGGCATGAAAGCCAGCTGGGTGACTTTGAGCCAATTAGCAGTAGACAACGAGTTCTAGTTCTGCCATAGGTGTGAAATCTGGCTGGGTGACCATAGGGCAATCGCCAGGTGCCTGTGAGTTCTAGTTCCACCTTAGGCGTGAAAGCCAGCTGGGTGACTTTGAGCCAATTAGCAGTAGACAACGAGTTCTAGTTCTGCCCTAGGCGTGAACGCCGGCTGGGTGACCTTGCGGTAATTACCAGGTGACTGTGAGTTCTAGTTCCACCATAGGCCTAAGAGCCAGCTGGGTGACTTTGAGCCAATTATCAGCAGACAGTGAGTTCTAGTTCTGCCATAGGTATGAAAGCCGGCTGGGTGACCATGGGGCAATCACCAGGTGACTGTGAGTTCTAGTTCCACCTTAGGCATGAAAGCCAGCTGGGTGACTTTGAGTTGATTAGCAAAAGACAATGAGTTCTAGTTCTGCCATAGGCGTGAAAGCCGGCTGGGTGACCTTGCGGTAATTACCAGGTGACTATGAGTTCTAGTTCCACCTTAGGCATGAAAGCCAGCTGGGTGACTTTGAGTTGATTAGCAAAAGACAATGAGTTCTAGTTCTGCCATAGGCATGAAAGCCAGCTGGGTGACCTTGCGGTAATTACCAGGTGACTGTGAGTTCTAGTTCCACCTTAGGCATGAAAGCCAGCTGGGTGACTTTGAGTTGATTAGCAAAAGACAATGAGTTCTAGTTCTGCCATAGGTATGAAAGCCGGCTGGGTGACCATGGGGCAATCACCAGGTGACTGTTAGTTCTAGTTCCACCTTAGGCATGAAAGCCAGCTGGGTGACTTTGCCGATTATCAGGAGACAGTGAGTTCTAGTTCTGCCATAGGCATGAAAGCCAGCTGGGTGACTTTGAACCAATTATCAGCAGACAGTGAGTTCTAGTTCTGCCATAGGCATGAAAGCCGGCTGGGTGACCGTGGGGCAATCACCAGGTGATTGTGAGTTCTAGTTCTGCCATAGGTATGAAAGCCGGCTGGGTGACCATGGGGCAATCACCAGGTGACTGTGAGTTCTAGTTCCACCTTAGGCATGAAAGCCAGCTGGGTGACTTTGAGCCGATTATCAGGAGACAGTGAGTTCTAGTTCTGCCATAGGCATGAAAGCCAGCTGGGTGACTTTGAGCCAATTATCAGCAGACAGTGAGTTCTAGTTCTGCCTGAGGCATGAAAGTCTAGAAGGCAACTCTGGGTCAGCCACTCCCTCTCAGCCCAACTGACTTCACAGGGTTGTTGTTGCGGGGAAAATAAAAGGAGGAAGGACTATTAGATTATGTTTGCCGCCTTGAGTTGTTTATAAAAATAGTAACAGCAGGATATAAACAACTAAATAAAGAAAATGTACTGAGGGGCAATGGAAACCCAACCTCTTTTTATGGCTGTGAAAAGTGTGTTCAAAGGAAGCAGGAGTTTGATCATCCAGTCACGCCCACCTAACACCGGACTAGCACTCACTGTCTTCTTGTGATTGCCCCAAAGCCATCCAATAGGCTTTGATGGCTAAGGCAGGACTAGAACTCACTGTCTTCTCGTGATTGTCCCAAAATCATCCAATAGGCTTTCATGGCTAAGGCGGGACTAGAACTCACTGTGTCCTGGTGACTGGCTCAAAGTCATCCAATAGGCTTTCATGGCTAAGGCGGGACTAGAACTCACTGTCTTCTCGTGATTGTCCCAAAGTCATCCAATAGGCTTTCATGGCTAAGGCGGGACTAGCACTCACTGTCTCCTGGTGACTGGCTCAAAGTCATCCAATAGGCTTTCATGGCTAAGACGGGACTAGAACTCACTGTCTCCTGGTGACTGGCTCAAAGTCATCCAATAGGCTTTCGTGGCTAAGGCGGGACTAGAACTCACTGTCTCCTGGTGACTGGCTCAAAGTCATCCAATAGGCTTTCATGGCTAAGGCGGGACTAGAACTCACTGTCTTCTCGTGATTGTCCCAAAGTCATCCAATAGGCTTTTGTGGCTAAGGCGGGACTAGTTCCCTTCCAGCTCTATTCTGAATTTGAATTTGAATACGCTTGGCGCCTTCCAGCTTTCCTACAACCACAACTGACCTCAATCTGTTGGAAAGCTTCTTCACGTTGACGGATGGCTTCTAGATCCTCCTCTGTGATCTCTGAGAGCAGGGCAGGTTCATGGCTCTGTTCCAGCTGGGAGCTGTCTTCACCCCCAAAGATCTTCTCATCATCAGCCAGGTCAGAGAAAGGGGTCTTGGGGCTTGGCTAAGGAGAGGAACCAAACGTGTTAGAAGGGTAGGATTCAAAAGCTAAGAGAGAGTCCTCAAGAGGAGATGGGGAGGAGAGACACCATTCTCCGAGGAAAATACAAAACAGCTGGAGAAGCATAAACCAAACCTTGTCCAAGTGGGTTAATTATTTCTTTCATTTGTCCTTTTAAAAAGGTGGATATTTAGGGAGTTGTCGACTTACGACCCCAATTGAGCCTAAAATTTCGGTCACTAAGCAAAGCTAGGTGAATTTTGCCCGTTTTAACGAGCTTTTTTGCCACAGTTGTTAAATATTACTATTATTATTAGTATTACTAATACTACTACTAATAATATAATACTAATATTAATACTATAATACTAATGATACTAATACTGATACTAATAATACTAATGATACTACTACTATTAATAATAATAATAATAATAATAATAATAATAATAGACAGCAGAATAGACAAGAAAAAACAAATTTGTTATTAGTCAATTGCAAAAGGCGGCCTTATTAGGAACTGCTTCCATCCTGCGACGATACCTGTAATACCATCAAACATCCACATCTGCCTATCCCAGGTCCTGGGTAAGGACTCGATAGGTAGACAAAATGCCAAATCCAGTCTGAACATCTGGCTGACTGTGCGATAATCCATAATAGACAGCAGAATAGACAAGAAAAAACTAGAGAAGATAACAAAATACAAAGACCTACAAATAGAAAGACTGTGGCAAAAGCAAGCAAGGGTAGTACCAATAGTAATAGGCGCCTTGGGTGCAATTCCAAAACAACTGATGCACCATTGAAACACCATTGGCATTGACAAATTTGCTATTAGTCAATTGCAAAAGGCGGCCTTACTAGGAACTGCTTCCATCCTGCGACGATATCTGTAATACCATCAAACATCCACATCTGCCTATCCCAGGTCCTGGGTAAGGACTTGATAGGTAGACAAAATGCCAAATCCAGTCTGAACATCTGGCTGACTATGCGATGATCCATAATAATAATAGAGTTGGAAGGGACCTTGGAGGTCTTCTAGTCCAACCCCCTACTCAGAGAATCACTTACTGACACAATTATTAAGTGAATCTGGCTTCCCCATTAGCTTTGTTTGTCAGAAGATCACAAAAGGTGATCTTTTGTAACCCTGGGATCCAGCAACCATCACAAATATGAGTCAGTTGTCAAACATCTGAAGTTTGATCATTTGACCATGGGGATGCTGCAACGTTCATTAAGGGTGATAAACGATCATAAGTCATTTTTTTAGCGCCGTTGACTCTTGAAACCTTCACAAAACTAACCCTTGTAAGCCGAGACAAGCCGTAGCTGTCCAGCTGATAACCAACTTTGGGCGGCTGTCAACAGAAAGAAAAAAGAAGAGGAAAACTATATTAAAACCATAAAACTAATCACATTCAATATCAGACCTGCCCCAACTTAGGTCTTTAGGAAAGAAAGACCCTCGACTCCATTGGGTTGAAGTAATGTGTTCTTTTACTAAGGTTAAGTGGTTGCAGTGAAAGTAAAGCTAGATCTGAATGTTACTGCGCAAAGCTTACACTTTTTCCCTTTCCTTGGCCCTTCCCCCTTGACCAGTCCATCCATGTCCAATAGTATGCCATTTAGATGTTTTGAGAACTGATCTGATGTTTGGCACCACATGGACTAGTTCCACATTCTATTCCTAGGCCAGGTGGCCTTGGCGGCTGGTTTATTCTATTCTATTCTATTCTATTCTATTCTATTCTATTCTATTCTATTCTATTCTATTCCATTCCATTCCATTCCATTCTATTCATTTTCTCTATTTATTCTATTCTATTCATTTTCTCCATTCTATTCTATTCTATTCTATTCATTTTCTCCATTCTATTCTATTCTATTCTATTCTATTCTATTCTATTCTATTCTATTCTATTCTATTCTATTCTATTCATTGGCCTTCACTGATCAGAGCTTTTGAGAAGGCACTACAGAGAGTCCATAATTTAGCAGAATTTAAATTCTGAAACAGGAATATTAAATATGATGTATGTCCCAGATTATTAAATGTGATGGTCCATACATTTGTCAAATGGGGACAATGTGGCTTTGTAGGAAATAAATCTCATAAATACTTGAAATACAACCAAGAGTTGCATGCAGTGTATAAATTCAAAGGGTGGAAAATTGAATTATTCCTTTGTGAAATTAAAACTTGAATGCTAATACAGCTTTCTCAATTGCATATGTTGCTTATCCCTCAAAAATAAAAATGGTTAGATACGGTTTTAGACACAGTTAGAAAAGTAGCAAAGGAATCAATTGGACATAAATCATTAGTAAGTTAAGAATTATAAGTTACATAACTTATGAGGTAAACTTTGCCCATATATATAGACACACTGGCACAAATGTTGCCGTGTTTTGATAGCTCTTACCACCAATCTAAATTTAAGCTATTAGGATAGTACAATGCTCTAAATTCTCTATTATCATAATAACTAAATGTTAGCTATTGCAGTAACAGCTGTCTTCAACAAGAATTTAAATTCTGACTAAAAATGTTTGTCCCAATGTCTGAGTAACATATGGCAGAAGGGAAAAAAAAATGTAGCAGAATTAAAAAAAAAATGTCCTATAAAAAAGGACGCTGCTCTTGTGGTGAACTGATTTTAAAATCAATCTGTGCAACTAATAAGAATGATCAGATTAAATTAAATTAGATTACGATAGATAGATAGATAGATAGATAGATAGATAGATAGATAGATAGATAGATAGATAGATAGATAGATAGCAGTAGCACGTGGACTTATATATTGCTTTATATAGTGCTTTACAGCCCTCTCTAAGCTTTTTACAGAGTCAGTAAGTTGCCCCCCCAACAATCTGGGTCCTCATTTTACCGACCATGGAAGGATGAAAGGCTGAGTCAACCTTGAACCCATGAGAATCGAACTGCTGGCAGTGGGCAGAGTTAGCCTGCAACACTGCATTCTAACCACTGTGCCACCAGATATAGAATAGGTGATGATAGATAGAAAGACAGACAGACAGACAGATACTGTAGATTAGAGATAGATAGAGAGACAGATAGACAGATAGATATAGACAGGGCTTTTTTTCTCGTAGAACGCCCAGAACGGAGTTCTGGAACCTTTTTTGGATGGAACCTTGTAGAGTAGGCAAGGGGGGTTGTATGACGTGTATGAGTTCCAACACCTTTTTTATTTTTTAGAAAAAAAGCACTGGATATAGATATAGATAGACTGTAGATTAGATAGATAGATAGATAGATAGATAGATAGATAGATAGATAGATAGATAGATAGATAGATAGATAGATAGATAGATAGATAGACAGATGATAGAAACAACATCAATAGATGATAGATATAATTGATTTTCATCTTGAATAGGAATTCAGTGAATGGAATTGGAAATGAAGGTAATTATTCACAATATGTAGTCTGGAAAAATGAAAGAAGAAGAAGAAAACAATGAAATCTTATTAACATAATAGCAGAATATGTATGTCTGCTGAAATCTTGCAGAATATCCACTTACTTCCAAAAAGAATGGCCTTGTCTCCTAACCAGAGGCTTTGGGGCACCTTCTAATTACCCCTCTCTCCAAAAAAATTAATAAACATATTGCTATTTTCCCAGGGGTCAAGTGAATGGAATGGAATGGAATAGAAGACTAGACTAGACTAGAATAGAATAGAATAGAATAGAAAATATGGAATAGAATAGAAAAGAATGGAATGGAATGGAATGGAATAGAATAGAATAGAATAGAATAGAATAGAATAGAATAGAATAGAATAGAATAGAATAGAAAATATGGAATAGAATAGAATGGAATGGAATGGAATGGAACACTGGTTCTCAACCTTTTTAATGCCGTGACCCCCAACCGGTCGTAAGTCGAGGACTACTCAACTGGTCGTAAGTCGAGGACTACTCAACTGGTGCAGCACCGTTTGCAGAATGGGACTTTTGGCGGGCTCAGCAGGGCAGAGACAGCCTGGACAATTCCTATTGGCTTTGGAAAGCCAATAGAATTAGACTCTAGTCAAGAGAGTCTATTCTATTGGCTTTCAAAAGCCAATAGAATAAAAGGGAGGAGCACAGCTAAGGAAAAGGAAAAAAATGGCGGACTGCGTTGTTTGGCGACCCCCGTGAAATGGTCGTTCGACCCCAAATGGGGTCCCGACCCACAGATTGAGAATCGCTGGAACAGAATAATTCTTTACTGACCAAGTGTGATTGGACACACAAGGAATTTGTCTCCAGTGCATAAACTCTCAATGTACATAGAGACTAACAGAGTTGGAAGGGACCTTGGAGGTCATCTAGTCCAACCCCCTGCTCAGGCAGGAAACTCAATACCATTTCAGACAAATGGTTGTCCAATCTCTTCTTAAAAACAATTTCCTAAAAATAGGAAAACAACTCCACAATTGTTCTATCTACTTTTTCGACACTGCGCAGACCAACGTGCAAAGGTCTTTGAAGGTTAATTTCCTGAAATCACTTCGTAACAAAATCATTCTTTCTGAAGTACATTTTCCCGGTGCAAGCTTCCCTAAGCATTTCTCCGATGTGACTTGCTAATTTTTTTCCCCCTTAACTAATCACTGTTAGACACGGATTAACATTTCTCAGAAGCATCTTGCACAAACATTTTTTTTTAATTCATTATCTTCGGATCCCAGAATTTTCTTTATGGGAAAAATAAATGCTAGAACATTTTCCTCAATGCTGCCCTGTGTGCTGTAGGGGAAGCTGCTATTTGCAAATTTTCTTATTTTTCTGCAGTCTTTGATGTTCTCTCGGCTTGGTTGTTTCCTTGCAGATGTTTCATGACCCAACTAGGTAACATCATCAGTGCTAGAAGAGAGTGGGATTTGTGGAGAGGAGGAGGAGGAGGACTGTGGGGGTCCTTGGTGCTGAGTTTGGTTGTTTCCTTGCAGACATTTCATGACCCAATTAGGTAACATCATCAGAGCTAGAAGGGAGGAGAAGTTGCAGAGACGAGGAGGAGGAGAAGGAGGAGGAGGAGGATGACGACTGTGGGGTCCTTGGTGCTCTAAGTTTGGTTGTTTCCTTGCAGACGTTTCATTACCCAACTAGGTAACATCATCAGTGCTATAAGGGAGTGAAGAGGAGGAGGAGGAGGAGGACAACGACGACTGTGGGGTCCTTGGTGCTCTAAGTTTGGTTGTTTCCTTGCAGACGTTTCATTACCCAACTAGGTAACATCATCAGTGCTATAAGGGAGTGAAGAGGAGGAAGAGGAGGAGGAGGAGGAGGAGGAGGAGGAGGAGGAGGAGGAGGAGGAGGAGGAGGAGGACTGTGGGGTTCTTGGTGCTCTGAGTTTGGTTGTTTCCTTGCAGATGTTTCATTACCCAGCTAGGTAACATCATCAGTGCTAGAAGGGAGGGGAAATTGCAGAGAGGAGAGGAAGAGGAGGAGGAGGACTCTGGAGTCCTCGAGCTTGATTGTTTCCTTGCAGATGTTTCATTACCCAACTAGGAAACATCATCAGCGCCAGAAGAGAAGGGGCTTTACGCTCTGTTTATTTACAAGTGGTTTACCCTGTCAGCATCAGTGGAAATGTTTCTGATGGTTCCTTCATTAGGTTGTTGTTTACTGATTGCTTGAATTGATGGGTCTTGGATTGGGGCATTATTTAGTACTTGACGGTTGTTCGAGTATTACTCTCGGTGTCAATCTCTGCTTATCTAGACATCGATTGCCGGGGAAAGACGTATCTGGGTCTCCCTTTCAGCTTTTTAATTGTCTCTTTTAAATGGCATGTAGTTGTTCTTTGCCTCGGTGTGTCTGTCGATGGCTGATTTGCCCAACAGCCTTTTGTTCCCCCCCTATCCACAGCTTGCAGCAGTTGTCAATGGGAAAATGCTTCCGTCCTGCTGTTTTGTTTTACTGGCCTTCAGCTATAAACCCAGCACATGACCATTAATCTTGTAATGGTCTCACGTAGTCATGGCCAACCCTGCCATAGGGACACCTCCTGCGAGTTCCCCAACGTGTTCTTTAAAAACCGAAGTTCTATTTTTCTATTTAGCGTCTTCTCCTTCCTGTTCATTTCATGGCCTGGCCTGCTGGGCCCACAGATGGTCATGTCGCAACAGAAGTGAAATAGGATAATTTCTGGAGCCAAACTATAAACCCTCCCTCCTCCTCCTCGTTGACTGCCATTGCTACTTTCCCCCCCCCTTTTTTTTTTCCAAGACTGCATTTTATTTAACAAGCAGGCAGTTAGATCACAATAAAGAGACAAGAAAAGTCTGTAGAGTCCTGGCCAAGCCATTGTTTCCTATTTCTTGAAATTGTCACCATTGGGT